TCCCTTCGACGGAGGCAGGGGCCCCCAAGACTGCAGACCCTGTTTCGCGGGTCTCTACTGCATGGGGGCCCCCTCGGGGGGCCCCTCAGGGGCCTCCTCGGGGGCCCCCTCGGGGGCCTTCTCGGGGGGCCCCTCGCGGAGCTTGCCGGGGGCCCCCTGGGGGCCCCCCGCGAGCGCCCTTTTGGGGGCCCCCCCGGGGGCCCCCGGGGGGGGCCGCCGGGGGGCCCCCGGGGGCCCCCAGAGGGCCTCTGGGGGCGGCTCCCAGGACGGGGGGGCCCCCAAGACCCCCGTGGTGGGCCCCTGCCAGGCAGGGTACTACTGCCCCGAAGGCAGCAGCAGCAAAGGAGACACTTCGTTGAGGGCCCCCCCCGGAAGCTTTGCCCCCGAAGGAAGTCCTTGGCCGCAGTTCTGCAGGCCTGGGACTTACACTTCAGCTGCTGCTGCTGCAGAGTGTCTCCTTTGTCCCGCGGGGTTCTACTGCGATGAAGCCGTGGGTCCTGCTGCTGCTGCTGCTGCTGCTGCTGCTGGTTCTTGGCGCATATGTGCCCTCAGCTCCTGCCTCTTTCCCCACCGCCGCCGCTGCCGCCGCTGCTGCCGCTGCTGCCGCTGCCGCTGCTGCTGCTGCTGCTGCTGCTGCTGCTGCTGCTGCAGGGCATGAGTCTGACGCCGGTGAGCGGGGCGGCCGCGCCGAAGGCCTGCCGCGTGGGCATGTACTGCCCCGAGGGCTCTGTCTTCCACAAAAACTGTCCCCCGGGGACAATAAATGCGTTTCCAAACGGGGAGACACTTGGAGACTGTCTCCCCTGTCCCTCGGGTTTCTTTTGCCAGTACGAGGAGACCAACGGGCCCACGGGCCGGTGCAAGGCGGGCTACCACTGCGCCACGCGGAGCACCTCCATGGCCCCCCAGGTGCGCGTTTGAAGGCCCTTTTGCCTCCTTTATTGTCTCCTTGTTGTCTCCTTTGCTGTCTCCTTTTTTGTCCCCTTTTGGCCGCCTTTTCGGGGCTTTTGAGGGGCTTTTTGGCTCTTATTTGCTACGCGTTTCTCTCTTTTGCTGCCACTGCGCCACCTGAAGCACTTCCATGGCGCCTCAAGTGGGCGTTTAAGCCCCTTTTTGTCTCCTTATTGTCTCCTTTCTTGTCTCCTTATTGTCTCCTTTCTTGTCTCCTTTCTTGTCTCCTTTATTGTCCCTTTTTTGCTGCATTTTTGCTTTTTTTGATTTTTTTTGACACTCTTTTGACTCTTTTGACTGCGCCACCAGAAACACTTCTATGGCGCACCAGGTGAGCGTTTGAAAGCCCCTTTCGTCTCTTTATTGTCTCCTTTTTTGTCTCCTTGTTGTCTCCTTTGTTGTCTCCTTATTGTCTCCTTATTGTCTCCTTTATTGTCCTCTTTTGTCTCTTTTTTGTCCCTTTTTGATCTCTTTTTGATCTTCTTTCGACACGTTTTGGTCTCTTTCGGTACATTTGTCTCTGTCTCGCTGCCACTGCGCCTCCTGTGAGGATTTAAATCTCTTTTTTGTCTCCTTTTTGTCTCCTTTATATCTCCATTATGTTTAATTTAATTCAATTCAATTCAGTTCAATTCAGTTTAAATTAAACTAATTTAATTTAATTCAATTCAATTCAATTTAATTTGACTTAGTTTTTTTTTGTCCTTTTCGAACCAAAAAACAGCCAGCCCTCCTGTCTCTCTTTTCCCTCCAACACAGCTAATTAAATTAATTAATTAATTAATTAATTTATTTATTTATTTATTTATTTATTTATTTATTTATTTATTTATTTATTTATTTTTTATTTTTTATTTTTTATTTTAGGAGATTGACTCCTTCGGCAACGGGCCCTGCCCCGCGGGCTCCTACTGCCCGGAGGGGACGGCGTCTCCTGTCGCTTGTCCCGCGGGGACCTTTCAACCATCGCTGAGAGCAGCAGAAAAAGCGGATTGTCTCCCTTGTCTTGCGGGCTGGTTAGCTCCTTTTTCAGAGCTTTTTAGTCCATTTGAGTCTCCTGATTAAGACATTTTTAATGGTGTTTAAATCAGCTTTTTATTCCACGTCAAAGTGGCTAAATTGGCGTTTTAATTCTGACTTTAAAGATGTAATTTGTCCCGCGGGGACCTTTCAACCGTTGCTGAGAGCAGCAGAAGAGGCGGATTGTCTCCCTTATCTTGCGGGCTGGTTAGCTCCTTTTTTAATTCTTTTTGGTCCATTTTATTCTCCTAATTGTCTCCTTTTTAAAGGTGTTTAAATCAGCTTTCTATTCCACTTTGAAGTGGCTAAATTGACGTTTTAATTCTGATTTTAAAGAGGCAATTTGCCCCCTGGGGGCAAATTGCCTTTTTATTCATTTCAATCCTCGAATAAAGTCCTTTTTAATGCCATTTAAATTGTACATTTATCCCCTTTTTATTCCATTTTAAACTAATTAATTTGGCCTTTTTAATCAAATTTTAAATATTTAACTGGGCCTTTTTAACTCCATTTTAGTTTACAAAAGTAGTATTTTTTATTCAAATTAAATAATCCATTTAAAGTCGAATTTAATGACCCTAAACCCTAAACCCTAAATTAGGGTTTGACTTGCCCGCAGGTACTGCGAATACGAGGGCCTAACAAAGCCAACCGCTGAGTGTTCTCCAGGTTACTACTGCGAAGAAGGTCAGCAGCAGCAGCAGCAGCAGCAGCAGCAGAAGCAACAACCACAGCAGCAGCAGCAGCAACAGCAGCAGCAGCAGCAACAGCAGCAGCGAGTGGATTTCATTGTTCTTAAAGTTTATTTCTCGTGCAGACTGAAGAATATTATGGTTTAGGGTTTGCAGCTCGCCCGCCTCAGTCAAATGCCTAGTGCTGAGGGTTTAGGGTTTAGGGTTTAGGGTTTAGGGTTTAGGGTTTGTGTGCAGGCGCGTCCTCGCCAGAGCCAAAGGGCAAAGAATGCCCTGAGGGACACTACTGCCCCGGGGGTTCTGCCTTCCCCATTCCCTGTCTCCCCGTAAGCTA